TGGAGTGGCTTGGCCGGTAGGTGCCTGGAGTGACTCGATCGGTAGGTGCTTGGAGTGGCTCATTCGGTAGGTGCTTGGAGTGGCTCGGTGGGTAGGTGCTTGGATTGGCTTGTTGTGTAGGTGTTTGGACTGGCTCGGTGTGTAGGTACCTGGAGTTGCTCGGTCAGTAGGTGCGTGGAGTGCCTCGGTTGATAGGTGCTTGGAGTCGCTTTAATTGCTTGGAGTGGCTCGATCGGTTTACGTGCTTGGAGTGGCTCAGTGGGGAGGTTTTTGGAGTGGCTCAGTTGGGAGGTGCTTGGAGTGGCTTGGTCGGTAGGTGCTTGGAGTGGCTCGGTCGGTAGGTGCTTGGAGTGGCTCGGTCGGTAGGTGCTTGAAGTGGCTCGGAGGGTAGGTGCTTGGAGTGCCTCGGTCAGTAAAGGTGTTTGGAGTGGCTTAGTCAGTATAACTGACATTTCGTTAAAAGTAAACTTAAAACTGACATTTCGTTAAAACTGACATTTCGTTAAAACTGACATTTTTTTTTAAAATCGCCAAATTGAATCAAGTGAGAAATGTACAGAATTTTCCTCCAAAATCGTGACTTCTGGCTTTATATGTAGACCATGGTAGGTTGTAGTCGTATGGTACCACATGGACGATATATGGTAGGTGAACTATCATGTACCATACAGCATTAGGGGTACATCATGCTGAATACACCATACATATGCACATCATACCGCATACACCATACATATGCACATCATACCACATACACCAATAATATGCTTATGGTATATGATACATTTTGCTCTCCATATAGATTGTACATATCCAGACCTCACATTAACCTCTACATGTTGTCTGACTACGTAGAAGTTTCATGTTTGCGTCGCTGTATTTGCGATCTGTCGGTTAGAGCATTTCATATTGTACATAACATTGTACATTTGCAAACTGCCATAAGTGACTTGCAACCGAACAATTCAATGACTGTCACCTTTCAACCGCTTCAATCTCCTCTGCAATCTGTCACATGTTACGCATCCTCTCTAGTTGTTACTGAGTCTAGTGTGATCCGTCGTCTAATGCGTTGGATATTGTGCGTATCGAATTCGAATGGTGGCAAACGACCTCTTGCCAAAAGAGATGCGTATGCTAGCACAAATACTCCACACTGATGAATGTCTTTCTGTTTTGGGATACCAACCACCTCTAATACCTTCTTGAAACGTCTAGTGTTGACTTGCTTTCCTTGTTCTGTTAATCGATTGTACACGTACCTCGCGAAGGTATTGACTACCTTTTTCGCAACGTCAAAGTTTGGTTTCATCGAATCGTAGTACTATATAACTTTTCGTCGAAGGTCTACTGCAACAAGTGTCCAATGCTTTTAATGAATGTTATGGTTTGGGGCTAAAATCAAGTCTGTATCTGCGATCAATACGTCTTTGAACCATTTAGCTACTTTGTCACAGTGATATCCGAAGTTGTCATCCATGAGTTTGACCAAAAAGAAAGAGTTACATACAGTTGTTCGCAGAATCAAACCCTTTGCGTACTTCGCGGACATGTTAGATTGCGTATCACACTGTCGATGGGAAGTCCTACACATGTTGTCAACCTTTATCATATTGCTGTCGAAGTTTATAATGTCATCGTTTAACCATCGTGTGCCACTCATTAGGATACTTATATCGTGGACCGTGAATCTTAACTCCTCTCGCGTCGCTGGATTCTTGGTGCTTGACGGTGTTTTGTAATTGTTGAACTTATTTTCCCATTGTCGCAATGCATCTTCTTCCGACTCGGTGATAGCATCCGTTGCTAATTGAATAGTCCACCCGTATTTATATCGGCGTTCGCCTTGGACGTGTAACAATGTCCCTGGTTCACACCACAATGGGATTGCTTGTTGTTAAAACGTGAAGTCATTGCATTATCAATTACGTGTTCGTGTTCGTATGAGTGTGTGTCAGGGGAGAGGGAGAAAGAAAGAGAGAGAGAGAGAGAGAGAGAGAGAGAGAGAGAGAGAGAGAGAGAGAGAGAGAGAGAGAGA